AAGGGAGATGTCGGACAGTGTAAGATAAGATAAAATAATAATAATTTCTAAATTATCAAGGGTTCATGAGGGAGGAGGGAGCGGAAAGGGAGGGGAAAAAATGACGAGCTGATACCAAGGGCTCAAGTAGAAAGCAAATGTTTTAGGAACGATGAGGGCAACAAATGTACAAATGTGCTTGACACAATGGATGGATGTATGGATTATGCTAGGAGTTGTACGAGCCCCCAATAAAATTATTTTAAAAAAATCCATTCTGAGAAATTCTTGGGCAGACATGGATATCTAATTCTACTGAAGGGCTTAAAAAATAAAGTCTCCTATGTTATAAAAAAAAAGAGTTCTTCCTGGAAAGGGCTCCCCCCCTCAACCTCAAACACCGCCCCCCCTCCGTCCCAAGGTAAAATCTCCTATCTTGGTGTAAGTCTGCCAGCTTGGGGCCGGGTGGGGCGGACTTTCTGTGGCTGTCAGCCCTGGTGGAAGGCCCCGTCTCCTCGGAGGCTCCCATATGGCTTTGCCTCTGCTCAAAGAACCAGAGTCAGAAAACTGAAAGCCAAGAACACGCTCAGCGTGTCTCAGATGGAAAGAACTGAAGGGGAGGAGACAAGAAAACAAAATGAAGTAAAGAAAAATCAAGTCTCTACTGCAGTATTGAATGACTCTCCGGGCAAGAGGAAGGGCCCAGATGGCGACGTGGTTTGGGCACGGGGTGGCTAACAAGGTCAGCAGTTTGAAACCCACAGCTTCTCCACAGGAGAAAGATGAAGCTTTCCACTCTCATCATTTATAGCCTCGGAAGCCCGCAGAGACAGCTCCACCCTGTCCTGGGGGGGGTGGGGGGGTGGTCCCTGAAAGTTGGAATCAGGAGGCAGGGAGTGATGGGGAAAACATCGAAGGCACAAGAAGCGTCCGGAGCCGACGGAAGGAATACACAATCACTGTACCACAAGGGACCAGCCAACATCCAGCCGTTCCAGGAGGTAGCACGGGATCCAGAACCGATGGTACTGCTGGAAGAAATCCA